ATTAGGCAATAGATTAGAAATTACCAAAGCCCCTGGGTTCGGCCATATTTTAAAAAAGTTGTGGTTGATTAGTTAAAGGAAAAGGATCATAGGGTTTGGCGACGCGATGGGCCGACGCGTTTACATGTAACGTTAAATGGTTTTTAAATGGGATCGAGATGGGGTAGTTAGCAGTCAAAGTGGATATTGCTTTTGAGAACCCACTTTAACTAATTCAAGTGAGGTATCTGTATCATGATCCATCATCACCTTAATGACCTTCCGATTTTGATTCCTTTGGAAGATCATGATTGCATTGTTCCTGTCTGAGCTGTTGGTGTGCGTATTTACCTGTAACCCTGGTTTTATTGCCGGTTCAAGCGAGAGTGGTCAGAATCCGGGACGGAGGGAAGGTACCTTACGGAGGTTACAGGCAAAAGTTTTCAAAGTGGGCCAGGTACCGGCAAGGGTCACGGTCAGGGGCCCAGTCTCCCTTCCAATGTACCAACGCGTCGCGCGTAGCCGTCAATTCAGAAAGGAATATACCTTGAAGCCGCTCATTGCGGGTAATATCAGGGTTCTTGAACCGCTAGCCAGGTGGTGTAAAGGGGGGCTCTGAAGCCATTGCAAAGGTGGTGTTTTTGCTGAATTGACGGCCGCGCGCGACGCGTTGGTACATTGGAAGGGAGACTGGGCCCCTGACCGTGACCCTTGCCGGTACCTGGCCCACTTTGAAAACTTTTGCCTGTAACCTCCGTATGTCGGCAACCGCCGGAACCATGAACGCGGTCAAGGTTCGTTGCCGAGATGCTGCCGTCATAGGGACAGGAGGGAACAGGAGGAATGCCCTATCACCATGCTTTGGACATGCTCGAAACGAGAGCTGAGGTTCTCATCGTCTCACATCTCTCGGCACTGGGTTTTCTGTGACTGTCCCTGTCGAAGCGCGCGGCGGAAGCGACTGGGGCGGGTGCCCGGTTCGGCAGTCGCGGCGGCGTTCGACCTGTTCGTCGCTGCATCCAAGTCAAACTAGACCCAGCGAAGAATCAGTCAAATGCTCAAGGGCCAGTTGCAAGATCGAAAAGCCCCCTGGTGATCGCCCTGATATCTGCTGTGCGCCTCACCCAGAAACTAAAATCAGATGACCGATTTCGCTGTGGGGGTTTCTGCCTTGTGAAAGCGACAGGGATGGAAGCAACAGGACGCTTGTGGCAGCTCTGCCTAGCGCTGCCACCGCGGCTGTCCCGAAAGAGCAGGGTTGTGACTCACAAGTGAAGGCGCGACCAATTGCGCCAGAAACCAACCCACCAAACCACCCATGAGGCCGTGCCCAATGAACTTGGCCGCCCTAGGCCGCTCAACCATGACTCCAACGCCGCGTCGCCGTCGCAAAGGAGACCAATAAGCGGCCCGGACAATGGCAGAAGACGCCTTATTGTATAAGATTATGGTCTCTTCCCCGTTCTTCTCGCGTCTTCCCCTTGTTTCGGTCAGATAATTTTCGCCATCACTCGCATCATCGGCGAGTCCTCAAAGGAGTCACTGCGCCAACCATTCAGCTGTCACCGAGATTGACCGAAAAGAAAACATACACACAGAAAGAGGAGAACAGCAAAGCACAGTCCCGGGTCTTCCATAAAAGCCCACCATGGGTCTCCCCCTCTGTCACCCCACCTCTTTCAATCCCATATTCACCTCCGGGACATCTCCGGGCTCCTCCCCGGGTGAACCCACCATCCCGGACTCCGGCTCGGACCTTGACCCCGAACCGTCCGGCTACTGTAACCGCCGTCGTCAACTAAAAACCCCACACCGGGGCTTACGGAGTAGCCGCCGCGGTCTCCCGAGCAACAGTGACCAAACCCGTTCCCGCACCCAGCGGCCGCACCGGAAACCGGGCCATCAGACTTCCCAGCGGCACAGGCCGGCCCCAGTCCGCCCGGCCGCGGCCGAAACACACCATGTAAAGCCGTACACCCACTGGGCCGCCGACGCCGACGAGGGCCGCGCCCTGGCGCGGTCCAACATCCTCTTACCCGGGGAACACCACCACCACGCCATCCAGCCACTCGATCAGCGACACGGACACGAGCGGCACACATGCAGGCGCAACAGCAGCAAGAGCCCCTCGAACTCTGATGTCAGCTCCGACGGCCGACAGCGGCGACCCCCATCCCTGGAGCGGCAGGATGCGTTCCGCGATGAAAAGACAGTCAAGCGGCAGCAGCGGCGGTGTTCGTGGGACGACGACGAGACGTCGAGTCCGAGTTTGCGCCGTGCGACGACTACTACTAGGACCGGCTTCCCGACGCGAGTCAGCAGAACTACGAGTGAGGAGGACGACGACGCCCGCGAGATTGCCGAGCTGTACCGCATGGGCCTGCTCTACGACGACGAGCACGAGCGCGGCGAGGGCTTCTCGCTCGGCCAGATTGTGCTCGAGGAGCCCGTGTATCCGGTTCGGGTCAGGCCTGCCAGGCGGCGCGGGCGGGAGAAGAGTTTTGGGTCAGGTTCTGGTCCGTCGTTGAAGGTGGATTTGGCGTTTTCGGCGCTTGCGGAGGACGAGGCGTTGGCGCGCTGGTTGGTCTCAAGTTGCGCTTCTTCTTTTCCTTCCTTTTCTCAGAGCATGGAGAGCGAAAGGCCTGTTTCATGGCGTGTGGCTGTGCATGATCCCCCCCGGTTGGCGGTTGTTTACGAGCTCGCCGACGATGCCGTGTCGGCATTGTCGGCTGGTGATTTCCTTGGGTCTGGTTCTGTTTCGGAGTTTTCGGATTGTGTTGCGGAGGAGCAATTCGGGCAGGATTGGGCGATGCTCGATGCGTGTAACGGGATGGAGACTGGCGCGTCGACAACAGCAGCAGCAACGATAGCGGTGGCAGATGATGTGGACGAGGAGGTCGACGGTCCCTGGGTTGTGCTGGGCCATGACGGCTCGTAGCAGGTCCGCCACAGAGATCCCCGACTGCCCTGGATCTCGGCCGGCTATGCAGCTGCGCGCTGCGATCGGACTGGCCCTCGGAGGTCCAGCACAACCGGGGACAACACTGTGGAAACATCAAGCTGTGTGCTCGTGGCTCCGGTTGCTGGAGCTCGCTTGAATGGGAGAGAAGTTGTCGAGGGGCGGGTTGTTGTACAACATCTGTATTCTGCTGTCGCGAGGAGGTGCTGTTGGAGCGGGCGCTGCATTGTTTGGAGCATTATCTGATTTTTACGACGTGATGACAGTTTGACTTCTTTCTCTCATGCTCATCTCCAAACTGCGCCACGTTCACTCACTGTGCTCAAACTTTGACGCCTAGGTAATCATGATAAGAGCTGACTAAACCACAGCTGGTCCGACTCCGTTAAGGTCTCTTGCTGTGAAACAGACTCTTCAGGCTCGAGCTTCACTCGAGGAATACTAAGGAGTCGACTCGGGAGTCAGTAACCTACTGCGGAGTACCAGCTGTACCGCTGACTAGAGTAGACCGGAAAATAATACGCTTTCGCATACCCTTTGGGGAATGCGAGCTCAACTGTTACGGAACATGATTACCAGGGGCCTATGGTTGCGTTGATATCATTATTACTGAGTCATACATCTTGGGACTCCCGTCCTTGCCGAGCTTCCCGCTGATCAACGGACACAGCGATTTTTTCCCTCGTAAAGGGCAAGCTGCACGACGCCCTTCAGTGCACAGAGTCAGCGGAGACCCGGTCGGATAAACGACGCGCATTAGTCCCGGCCGCCGTCGGCTCACTCGGCTGAACGCGGCCTCCGAGACCGCCGACCGCAGTTGTTACCATAACTACCTGGAAACCCATCATCTTCTTGAACTTACTCACATTCAATACCACCTACCATAGCCATCCTGTGAAGTGTGAGCATCTCCCAAACACAAACCAGGAACCCGAAGGACCAACCACCATCACCCAACACCATGACTACCCCAACACCCGTGCCCTCCATCACGGCCCTGGCAGCCCAAGCCAAAGACTTCAAAACTCTCCACGTTCCAGGCAACCCACTCGTCCTGGCCAACGCCTACGACGCAACCTCGGCGCGCATCATCGGCTCCCTACCCGGCTGCTGCGCCCTCGCCTCGGCCAGCTGGGCGCTGGCCAAGACCATCGGCACCGACGACGAGAAGCTCACGCTCGAGCAAAACTTTTCCCTGCTCGAGCCCATCGCGGCCGTCGCGCGCGAGCTGAACCTGCCGCTGACGGTCGACGTCCAAGACGGGTACGGCGACCGGCTGGACGAGGTCATTCGTCGGGTCATCACCGAGCTCGGCGCCGTCGGGGTCAACCTGGAGGATTCGCATCATGAGAGCGGGGCCATGATGGGAGAAGAGGAGGCGGTGGAGAGAGTGCGCAGGGCGGTGGCGGTTGCGGCCGAGGTCGGGGTACCGGATTTTGTGGTGAATGCTCGGTCGGATACGTTCTTGGTGGGCGCCGGGGAGTTGGATGAGTCGATCCGGCGCGGGAAGAAGTATCTTAAGGCTGGGGCTACGACGATCTATGTGTTCTGGCCGCCCAGCAGGGACATGGTGGAGGCGGACGTGAAGAGGGTGGTGGATGCATTCGACGGGAGGGCGAACATCCAGCCACGCAAGGCCTCGCAGGTGCAGACCAAGGCGCTGACCACGACCGATGTGGCCAGGATGGGCGCTGCGAGGGTCAGCGTCGGGCCGCAGTTGTATCGTACGGCTACTGCGGCACTCCAGACGGCAGCGACTGAGTTGTTTTTCGGGCGGTGTTTAGTCGGCAGAGAGGGGGAGGACAGGAGGGACGTCTCACATTGAACCGAGTCAGAAGTAAGCGAAGAGTCACACCTAGAGTGCGTACAAAATATGCAACCCAACCTCAGAGAAATCTTATCGTTGAGTGTTAGCCATTGATGATGCCAGGAGGGTGAACTTGCCATGTTCCTTGTCCGAGGCTCTGAACTTCGTGGAGCCTGGGAGGAGATAATCCTCGTGGTCACCTTTCCCGTGTGTTGTTTATAGTTACTTGAAAATGCACGGTCGCTGTGTTAGCATGGGCTTGTGGTGCAGTGGTTAGCATACTCGCTTTGGGAACATGATTCTGCGAGTGGTCCCAGGTTCGAACCCTGGCTGGCCCCTTTTTTAACACCTTACACGTTGGGCCGATTATGAGAAACTGGCCTGGACCTGTGAGTCACTGTCAAGAGAAAGGAAGTCGCAAACCGATACCTAAGATGCCAAAGTGGTTCGGTCAACGACTGGAACTATATGAATTCCCTACCCGTATATTGAATGTTGCGCCGCTGACCGCTGGCTATGGAGAACGACAGCATAAAGTATAGAGAAGGACGGGCCGTCGACGGCATGAAGGAAGAAGACCGCGCGTTGCATTCGACAAACACGACTCCTACCGAACTGGAAAACACTCAGGGCGCCGACATGGCTTGAACAGTACACTGACTGGATAGAGATCACGTAAGTTGTCAGAGACATTTTCGTATCACAAACTGATGTGTTCCTTCTAACATCGCCCGAGTCAAGCCGCTGAGTCCGAAATTTGCAGTGCTACCTCACTGAGTTTCTTATTCTGACCCTCAGTTCCTTACCCCTTGAAAGGACTCGGACACCTCAGCACTGAGTTCTGCTTATCTTAAGCCAATGCTAACAAACACATTTCGTGATGCCCACCTAGCTAGTCGTACCGGCAATCAAAATAAAAGCAGCGTCATCAGTAGGCAACCACCTCCGAGTCTGTTCGGTCAAGTCCTTTCCAGCAAAACAAAACAGCCAGGTATATCTCGCAGAGAAAGCAAAGCGACTCACTACGCAGTAGAGAAAGAAGACACGCAATGCAGGGGAATATCGAAGTCTCAAAGCATTAGTGTCAGGCCCTTATAAACCGGTTCACCCTGCTCCAAATGTGCTGGACAACGAGCAAAAAAGAGGCGTTCAAAGAGTCTCAATGAAAAGGAGAATGTGGCCCAAGACCTCTAGAGAGGTGTGAAATATCCTTGCCTGAATATGACCAAGATCCACGCGAGAATAACGACAACGCTACCACGCTGTCAATCAACATCATCCCCCCTTTCCGCCTCATCGTCCCCGTCTTCCGCGGCTTCAAGATCGGGATACTCAGACCCATCCCCCTCAAGCCTGGCAACGAATTGCTTCACGAACCGCCCATCGGGGCCCAGGCCCGCATACATGAGTGGCACCAGGAGCAGCGGCATCCCGCCGACGCCCGAGCTCACCTGCGCCTTGATGAACGCGAGCTGGTAGCCGGCCATCTGCCAGACAAACTTGGGCCCCGTGTGGTGATACAGCTTGAACGCCAGGCTTGCCTTGAGCATCGCAAAGTACGTCGTCGCGCCCGCCCCGCGCTGGGCCAGCGCCGGCGGCTCCAGCAGCGCGAGCATCCTAGACTCGAGCTTGTTGGACCCCGCGCGGCTGACCGAGTGGGCGTCAATGGCGAGCCACTTCTCGTAGATCTGCCTCACCTTGTCCGGGTAGGCGCCGCCCTCGCGGGACTGCATGGCGCGCGACCACTCCAGCCTGACGGCGCCGATGGCGTTGCGGAGGGATTCCAGGAAGCGCTTGCTCGAGGCCGACTTCTCGGCGATGGCGTTGAAGTCCTCGTAGTAAGCCACCAGGTCGCGGTCCCAGAACTGGGCCGCGTTCTCGGAGCCTTCGGCCGTGGAGCGCTTCTCGGCCGCCATGGCCTTGTGGAACGAGGCCAGCTCGCGGTCGATGGCGGGCTTGGCGATGGAGAACTTGAGGTAGTCGATGACGTGGCGCGGCTCGCTGGCGCCGGCCCAGACGTCGCCCTTGTATTCCGGGTCGTCAAAGGACATTCTGCCGCTGAAGAGGTCCCTGCGGAGCCGGCTCCAGCTGTCGTTGTCGAAGATGATGCCCTGCTTGCTCTGGTCCACTAGCTTGCCCAAGAGGGTGCTGAGAAGAACGGCGGCCCCATCGCTGACGCTGTTGCTGTGGTAACAAGCCTTCTCCTTATAGTTGGTGCAGATGCCCAGGTAGTTGGGCTGCATGGCGAACTGGAAACTCTTGTTGATCATTTCGTAGACGGCCTCGTAGCGAGCGGTCGCCCCAGGCAAGCCGGTTTGCCGGACCAACTCCTTGAACGTGGTTTTGTCCTTGCCTAGATAAGCAGAGAGATCTGGCTCCTCGGGCACGTCCGCGTTAACAAAGTTGTCGACAATGTCCGGATCCCAGCACACCCAGGCCATGTCTCCATCGTAGTCACCCCCGGACAGCTTGTCAGCGAGCGGGATGTTACCTTTGGCGGGAAATACGATGACGTCTTTGAGGGCGTGCAGCTCGGGCTTGAACACGGCCCGGACCTTTTGTATGTCGCTCACAAAGTGGGCGGGCGATCGGGCGACAAGGACGTCGCAGTCCGCCAGGAGAGTGTACGAGATGTCATCCCCCTCGTCGCGGAACTTGGATGAGAACCCGACGTGCACTTCATTCTCCTCTAGGACACCCCAGAAGTCGACAACCATGTAGATGTACGCCGACCGGCCAACGCGAATATTCAGCTTGGTCCTCAGGATGTCGCACTTTTGCTTTTGGAGCTCCCAGGCCAGGTCTTGCAGATACTTCTGGGCCTTTGGGTCGAAGCCGCTGTTCAAAAGGAAACTGAGGATTTCCGACTTGCTCTCCGGGAGACCTCCCAGGAATGGCACCTGCCCGTGCCTGACCCGCTCAGAGCGATTGTTGGAGTTCTCGTTGACCCACTGCCGAAACTGGAGCGGGCGCTGCAAGGCTGTCTTTTGATTTTGAAACTGCTTTTCCAGGTCGTTTGTGAGACGATTGCCGATGGCGAGCCTCATCTGCCTCTTGTCTCTGGCTCGGTCCTCCAGCACGGGCAGAAACTGCAGGTTGAGGCCTGCCGGCTTCAACTCGGAGGCGACGCTGCGGACTTCGAGGGTCCTGTGGTATCTATCGGCATAGTTGCATTTCCATTTGCGCTGGGACGGGTATGTCTCGATCCAGTCGGTGTCGCCCGTGTCGGCCACGTCCATCAACCACATCCCTTTCGCGGAACCCATGCGCCCCTGGATGGCAGAAGGTATGTCGCCCAGTCCAAGGGCATCCCGGATCTTCCTTGCCACACTGCGGGACATGCGGGCAATGCCGTCGTTCATGACTTTCCCGATGGGCGACAGGAGGTCCTCGGCATGGTCGCGGATCTGGTCGGGCTCAAAAGTCAGCGCCGGAAAGGTCTTGCTCAGTCCCAGTTGAATCCGCGAGAAGAGCTTCAGGTGCGGCTGATCCTCGTTGCGCTCCAACTCGAGAAGCCAGTCTAGCATCAGGCTAACTGGGAGTCGTGTCCGGCGTTGCACTGTGTCGTGTGGGATGCCGAGCCTTGAGCGGATGTCGACCGGGCGGAAATTCAGGCCGTCCTCGGCAAAGAAATGCACCCTCTCTTTGAATGTGGCTTTGGCTTCTGGGCCAAGCCTGAAGTCCTTTGCTGGCTTTCTGTACCCAGCGTCTTTGGAGTAGAACGCCTGCCACCGCCGCCCAACCAGACAGTGTTGGTTATTGGTCAACCATTGGGTGACTTGTTCAGCGCCCCCGTCCTTCATGGCGGCCTGGAGGTGCGCCGGCGCGTTCATGGCGGAGGGGGATGGGATGAGCATTTCAAGCAACCGGTCTGGGCCGAAGCGCCTTGTCAGTCTGCAGCCTTCGTCGAATCTCAGCGGCTTCATGTCCAGCAAAAACAGGGGGCCAGTCTTGGCGGGATTGAACTCCAAAGCGGCCGACATCACCACAATGTTCCCGCGACCCCCCCAGGAGCTCAAGGCAACCGAGAAAGCTTCGGCAGATGGGCGCTCCGGAAAAGACTTGCCCCGGAAGACATCGAGCTGGCTGAGGTCCCTCCAGATGGCAAACATGTCCGAGGTGGCCCATTTGGGGTTGTATTTGAGTCCGTCGTTATCGAGGTCGACTTTGCAGTGCAGGCCAATGCGGGTAATCTCCCACGCAACGGCGAGGGGGGCAGCATGCAGCCAGCGGGGAAATTTAGCTGTCCGACGTCAGAAAAGTCAAGGCAGAGTCTGACGGGTGGTTCACTTACGCCAAATGTTCCGCAGCCTTGACTCGAGAGGACCACGTCCGCGATTGGTCGGCTCGCTGTCGAGTCCTGCCCTGCGGTCCCGGATTGTGGTGTCATCGAGGACGAGCGGGGTCATGTCAAGAAAGCCAACACTTGAGAAGAGGCCGGACGACTGTGGAGGCGGTTGGTGAGAAGCCCGGGCTACGGGCGCTTCAAGACTCGGAGGCGGTCTATTCACGGCCGACGATGTCCGATTGGCGACCTTGAACTGGTGGGATGACGGGCGTGGAGGAGTTGCAAAGTTGGGAGAGGATTTCGCTTCCTGCGGGTCACCATCCGGGGTGGTCTGGGTCGACTGCTGGGTCGACTGCTGCTGTTCGCCACGGCTGAAGAAGCTCGATACCCTGCTGCTGGCAGAGGTGTCACTGGAATTCCTCCGCTGGTCATCTGGCCGGCGTCGCTCTGGGGACCAATCCTCAGGCGGATGGCCCAGCCGTCGACGGGCGGGCACCTTGTCGAGGGCATCGGTGAAGGCGGATGGTGTCGGAGACGGACAGGGCGAAACCCCCTTCGGACGCTTGCCACAGTGATCGTCGTCTCTATCGAACGACCGCTTGGAACCAATCGATGCAGGGGATTCTGGGACGGACTTGAACGAACCGGCGTCACTCTCGTCACTGAGTGTGGGAAAATGCGCAGGGCCAACGTTGTTGAATCGGCCACTGGGTGTCGGAAGCAACAAGGGTGGCTTCTTCTGAGCCTTGGCGCTGTCAAGAACGCTGATCAAGACGGACTGCAGGTTCAACCGCTGGGCAGGAGTTTGCGCCTTCGGGGGAGCCGATACCGACGGAGGAGTGGCTGGGTCGGCGCGAGGTTTTGGCACCCAGCGCAGGCTTGCGGCTTTGGCTTCCTGGTCGAACGATTCGAGGGCCTGCTCTAGGGCTTCCCCGCGCTGGTAAAAAAGAAACTGGATGCCGCTGCAGATCTTGTCACACCTCGCGAACTGGTCGTTGTCGGCACTGAGCAGCTTTCGCTTGTACGGGCTGAGAGTTGGGTCGGGGATCG